TGCAATACTCAGATTGGGAAAGGACAGATATGGTAGTTCGCTGATATGTTCTTGTTAGTCTTTCTAAACACTTGCAGAAGCAAGTGTACTTGGTTAAGATTAGAGTAGAGATGCTTCAGACTCTTAATGACATGTTTGCTGCGTCTAACAGCTCTGCTAGACAGAATGTAGTCAGTGCAGGTTTTGCTAAAAGTCATGTTAAATCTAAGGGGAAACCTAAGGGTGGTAACAAGAACAAAATGACTTGGTTATCAACACCAGTTACTATGAAGAAGCCGCAAGGTAAGTGCTTCAAGTGCAGACTGAAGGGACACTGAGAAAAAAACTGCCCAGAGGTGATGAAAAGAACCAGACATGGGTAATTTAAAGGCTTATTTAGTGGATGAATCTATGATTCGGGAACACTTACTATATTTGTTTCTCTTTGCAGTGGTTCAAGCATATAGGGCCTGTTACCATTCGATAAAGAAATTTTAAGCTTGAAGATGGGGAGCTTGTGTCTGCATTAACAGTAGAACAAGTTATTTTATCTTTTGATAATTTATGACTTTGATATTTGATGACTATTTATTTATTTCGGATTTAAAGAGAAATTTTATTTCTGTTAGTTGTTTGTGTAAACATGGTTTGATAGTACAATTTAATTTCTCAGTTTCAATAAGAAGTTCATCTTCTTTTATTTTGGTATATTAAATAGTTTTTATTACTTGAGTAATATAGCTCATTGAATTTATTACGTTGAATTGAAAGGATGATAAATAAGAACATTCACCAAAGAAATAAAAGTTTCAAATTGAAATATATTTTTGACTTTTGCGATTGAGTCAGATGATCTCAAACAGGAAACATGATTTAGTTAAAAGAGGGTGAAATATCCCAGAAAAATAATAGTAATTTATAATAATAATAAACTATAAATTATTAGTAATAATATATATATATATATATATATATATATATATATATATATATATATATATGCGATATAAGTGCTATTGGAAATTGATTTTGATACTTTGTAATACTCTTGGTTATTAATAATAAAATAATATTAATATATATGTATATATATATATTAGATGATAAATTATGATTGATGATTTATGCATTAATGTTTGATTGGTAATGTTTGATTAGTAATTTGATTAGATATGATGAGTCAATCATGAGTCAGCCTTGAGTTAGCAAATAAGTTAGCTGTGTTTTGAGACATAAGAAATTAAGAATAAAATAGTGTATGAAGCCAATATCTGAGCCAGATACATCAATGAAGAATAAGGAAATAATTGTACGAAACCCATATCCGAGCCCAAAACTTCAACTTTAAATAGAGGCCTAGCCTAACCAAACCAATTCACTTTCAATCCTCAGTATTTCTCCTCTTCTCCTCTGCTACTCTCTTCTTACCTCAAAATTTTATTCATTTATTTTAATTTTGTCACAATCGTTTCTCTTCTCCAAATTCTAGAAGGTAGCAAACATGGAGACCAGCTAATCCTAATCTTTTTTTTTTTTTTGGAGTTACCCAACCCTAATTATCTCTTTGAGACGAGTTGGCTCCCTCCGGTATCCCCACGAGCTTCGACTCTTTGAGCCGGCTATGGGACTAATCCGGAGTGCGGGGGAACAGTGATGGCTAAAGGTTCAGCCCCCTCCCCAAGAATGCATTCAGCGGGAATCGAACACATATCCAACCCCACTAACTCAGCGCAAAGTTACCAACTGAGCTGCACCCATTAGGTGCTAATCCTAATCTCTAAGTGCTCTTAGGTTAGTTTTATATGAAATTTAGGTTAATTATATATGATTTATGTTTGGTATAATATTGAATTAATATATTAATTTTATTCTTATTTGGTATAATTCCAATATTTAGGTAATTTATTTAAAATCTATTATATGTAATCATATTCCCTATAGAGTCAAATTTAGTATATCCTAATCCCTTGGTATTCGTAGGTTATTTCTTTTATATGAAATTTGGATGTAATCCTAATTCCTAGGAAATTGTAGGTTATCTTTTAAAAGAAATTTGTTGGGAATAATCCTTATCTGTAGTTAGTTATATATTTGGTTTAATGTAATCCTATTCCCTAGGTGGTTGTAGATTTGTGTATGCAATTTTATTGGGTTTTAACTCCTAGAAAATAATAGGATTAATTAATTTGGGAATAACCTTAATGCTTTGATAATGTATTTTGCCTTTGATAAAATGATGGAAAATTGATTATGTGCGATATGATTTATATTGAATAATTTTGGAAATTATTATTGATACCCTGAAATAATTGAATAATTGATATGATGATTGGATTATGTGTAATGGATAATTGATATGATGATAGAAGATTATGTGTAATGATGATTGGATTATATGTAATGGATAATTGATATGATAATTGGATTTGGAAATTATGATATTCTTAGATAATTGGATTTGGAAATTATACACTTGCCTCTTGGTAAAGTGATGTGGAAATTATAAAAACTATTTGAGAAAATTTTCCAATAATGAGAATTGTTACATGATTGAATTGATTGTATGTGATTGTAATAAATTCATAGTGGGAGGTTAGCTTTGGGATGTTACCTCCCAAAGTGATGAACACAACCTTTGGGCTTTATGCCTATGATAATTATGTGATGTGAAAAGAGAATATTCGTTCTTCTCAAAGTGGTATCTGGCAGGATATCTGAGATACTAGTTGCAACTTCGGGAAGAGGTGTGTACACTAGGAAGAGATATTTTGATTATGGTCAATTTGATTATTTGTGACTGGCAGGATATCCGGGTCACAGGATAGACTGACAGGATCTCCGGGTCTATCATGGTTCTCTTCTCACTAAATACAATGAACTTAAATATTATTAATAATGAAATTTGTTATTTGATTTGATTATGATGAATGTCATTGAGTTGTGAATATTATCATATTATGATTAATGTTGTGCTGAATATGTTAGTTGATAATTACCCTTACTAAATGAACTTGATAAAGAAAAATTTTATATGATGGAATTTTGATTATTATATTGATATTTGATTTGATTAATGTGGAATTGATTTGATCACTATTTGATTATATATATTTGATTTAATTTGTTATTAATTACATTAATTGTATTTTGATTGGGATTACCAGTTTTGCTGACTTTTATGTTTGTTTGACTACAACGATCCTTTCGGGGGGAGCAGACTTTCAGTGAAACAGGTTCTAAAGAATCGGGCTAACAGTGGGCAGTGAGAATAAGTAATAACGACTCAGGATTTTCTAGCTGGTCTTAAATATTATGTAAAAAAAGGTACTCTTTGATTTTATTTGAATTTAATAGTTAGCCTTGCACTTGTCCCTGTACAGGTGCGGCGATAACATTTCCCCAAATTAGTTTTAGATTAGCTTCCTCAGTAGATATAAGATCTTAATAAATTATTAAATGTTATTATTATTTTTTAAATTTCTTTATTATAGGAATATTTTATTGTTGTTAAAATTGTTAGAAATTTTGGGGTGTTACAGAGGGACTAGAAGTTCCATAATCTTTGAACTAAAAGCCACATGTAACTCCTATTTGGAAGGTAAAATGATCAAGCAACCTCATAAGGTCAAAGGAATTTGCACAACTATTCAACTAGAATTAATACATAATATTGTATGTGGACTAATTAGCGTTCATGCCAAAAAAAGTTATGAGTATTTCATTATGTGAATGGTTACTCTGGATTTGGATAGATGAACCTAGTGCACCATAAATCTAAAGCTTTTGAAAAATTTCAAGAGTTTTAAGTCAGGTGTTCAAATCAAAACACTTTGGTCTGACTGAAAGTGTTGGATACCTATCTTGTAAGTTCAGGTCTTACCTGATTTAAGAGGGATAGTTTTCATAACTGTCAACTCAAGGAACGCGTTAGTTGAACGAAGTTGCAGTATGCAGAAATCAAATATTTCTAGACTTGCTGAAGTCTATCCTTACCAATAGCGTTTTTGGGATATGCCTAGGAGAAGACAATATACATTCTTAACTTGATTCCATCTATGTCTGTTATAGAGACACTAAAGAATTATAAAAAGGAGAAAGCCCAATTCAAACCATATTTAGATTTAGGGTGCTCTAGCACACGTCTTACAACAACGGTCAAATAAGATGAAATCTTGTACGGAAATGTGCATATCTTTTGGCTACCCTAAAAGAACCGGGGATGAGATCTTATTTAGTCCAAAGGACAAGATGATCTAAGTGAGCATTCACGTGATTTTCTTAGAGGAGGATTAGATGAGAAATTATAAGCTCTTAAGTAAGGTTATTCTTGATGAGACTTATCTCAGATCAAGAATTTCAGAATCTCTAGAAGCTTCATCCTCTGTTCCCTTGATTGTTCAAAGATGGGAAAGATATACCTCTAGGTGAACAAACAAGGGAACCATAATTGGAAATTCAACATAATAATATATAAATGAAACTAGTAGAAATATTAGTATCACATGTGGAAGAACAATATCAAGGAGTTATTAACACATATATATGGATTCTCAAGAAATTGAAGATCCACCATATGACTCAATTTTGGATCTACCTGTAGATACACAAGGTCTAGTGTGGTACATTCGTAGTGGGAGAGAACCTTGTTAACTCTCAGGTTGTCTCTTGTTGAGTGACATTGACCCCATTAGACGATAATGCACTAGAAGATGTTGTTGATCAAGTATGCTCAAGCTATGAATCATGAGATGGAATACTTGTATTTCAACTCCGTTTGGTACCTAGTATAAGCATCAAGAGGGGTAAGACCCACTAGGTGCATGTGGACCTAAAAAGCAAAGAGAGGATGGACGGGAAGGTGAAAACCTTCAAAGCTAGCTTAGAGGCAAATTTTGACAGATGCCATGCTTAAATCTATCCAAATTTTCTTAGTTGCTGGTATAAATCTCAATTATGAGATTTTATTTTGGAAGTTGGATGTTAGGATATTTACACACAACAACGAAAATGGTTTATAGCAAATGGGCAGTAACACATGGTATGAAAGTTGTGAAAGTCTATTTCATGGACTTAAGCAAGCATCCAGGTCTTGGAATATCAATTTTGATCAGGTTATCAAAATTTTGATTTTGATAGAACATTGATGAATGATGTGTATTTGTATGTAAAGAATCCAACGGGAGGCAGTAACTTTTTTGATACTTTATGTAGATGATATGCTCTTTATTGGAATCAACATAGAGGTAATATGAAGCATAAAGAGTTGGCTAAGTTAGTGTTTTGATATGAAAGTACTGGGGAAACCAATAATATTCTTTGCATAAAACTCTTATGAGGCCAAAAGAATAAGTTGTTGGCATCACCTTAGGCTACTTACATTGACAAAACTCTTGCCAAAATTCTACATGGTAATTCTAAAAAGGGAGTTATGTCTCTCAGACATGGAATTCATCTTCATAAGGAGTAACCTCTAAAAACTCCTGAAAATGAAGAATGCATGAGTAATACTTTATGCTTTGGCAACAGGTAGTCCCATGCATACCATGTTGGGCGTTAAATGAGACATTTGCCACGCAGTGAAAGTAGGGAGACAATATCATTTTGGACCTAAAGGAACACTATATTATAGTTAAGCATGTATTAAAGTATCTTCGGAGAACGATAGAATATATGCTAGTATATTCTAGTGGGAGTCTTGAAAAGTGGAGCTTTCAAAGATTCAATTTTTCAAGTGGATATTGATTCAAGAAAATCAACCTCGAGTTATGAATTTTTTCACTAAATTAGGATAACATTAGAGGTGGATCTTGCAGAAGGAGTTACTAAGAGTTTTCCTGAATTTGTATTCAAGAGTTTTATAAATCCTATTTATATTCCATTGTAAATCGAGTGACTTGTAACAAGTGACAGTGAAGTGAATATAGTACAGACAAGTTGGACGTAGCCTACATTGGGTGAACCAAAGTAAATTAATATGTCAATTCTCTGTCGCTTTCTCTTTTCGTTTTCGGTTTATGTGTGTTGCACGATTGTCGATTTCCAACACGTCCACCCTATTAAACATTCTTGGATGACAGTAGCGAGGAGGAAGAGGAAAACGAAATGGATCAAAGAAAAGTGAGAAGCTCCTCCCATTAGTTTTTGCATGATTTTTCTTCTTAAAAACAAGTTCCATTTTTTAAAAATCATCTCTTAAAAGAGGTTTGGTGTGAAAAAGGAAATTGACAATAAAAATTAACTTTTAATATCTCATTTTTTTTTGGCTTTTTGGCCCCATATTGTAGGGTGGATCTCGAAAGATATGAAAGATCTCCCTCCAAGCTGTACATATGACATTCATCGAATACGACTTTCCACATAATTTGATATGTATCTATGAGATCGAGTATAGAATTCTTCTTGGATTTGAATAGAAAAAACTTATTAAGTTAAGTCGAAGATACTTTATTTTATGAAATTATGAAAAGGTTCTCCCGACCAATGTTTAAAATCCCGGCCCGGCCATTGACCCGACCAAGGTAAGGGGGCACGGGTTCAACCGGGGGGTCACGGGGTCACTACGCTGACCCGATTTTATATATTAAAAAAATAAATAAATATATCCTATATGAAAATATTAAAAAATAAACCATCAATCATCAAAGATTCAAAATATATTTAACATAATTCACCAATTACAACCACAAGTCAATATTACACAACCTAATTAAAGTATCAAGATACCAAAGTACAAAACTCATATTCTAATGGAGTCACTACATTGACCCGGTTCTGCCTCTTTTGAGAAGGTCCCTAACAAAGGAAAATTTAAAGGAAGTAAGAATGAGTTTTTTTTCCATCGACGACCGTAAGGATTTCATTTGAATAGGTAAAGTTCTTATCTTTTCTAGAAGATTCATGGCAGCGAGGTGAAGATTGAAGACATCTAGGTCGCTGGGAGATAAGAGAACGATTAGTTTTAAGATTGCAAGCATTTTTATTTTATTTTTTTAATAAAACGATGTTGTTCATGGAAATTAAAAAAAAAAACATGCAGTGACCCCTTTTGAACCCTTTGACTCGGGAGTCACTGAAAACCGGCCGGGTTTTGGGGGGTCGAAGGGGTCGATATGCATATAGGGTCCAACTTGTGAGCCCAATCCTCAGAGGGGAGGGGTCAGGGTTGACCCGGGTCAACCCGGGAGGCGGGGTGAAATTTTAAAACACTGCTCCCGACTCATAAGGGAGAACATCTATTTCTTTTTTCGATGTGAATTTCGCACAAGAGGGGGGCGACTTAATTTTTTTTTTCTATTTCATTCATCTCTTTTTAATATTTCTATAGTTTTTGAGTTTTGAGTTTAGAATATAATCGAATTTATATTTATAATTCGAATTATAACATAAGATATAAATAATATAGAGAATTCATAAATTAAGAATATTTAATAATATATCTAATTTTCTAATTTGAATTCATTATGTTTTCTCCATCTTATTCTTTTTTTAAATATTGTCAACATTGTATCAAATAAATATAATCTGATTGTGAATAAATGAATCGATTTAGTCACGTTCTATTTATTCATAAGTAGATGTTTAGAACAATAACAATTTATATATGAATTCTATGAAAAACCTAAAATTAAGATAATTGCAGTATTTAAATGATAGACTTTAATTAATGACAGCCAATAATTAAATACATAACGTTGAAGGCTTAAATTAAATATTAAAACATTAGATGCTGTGTAGTGATTGAGAAAATCCTAGTGGGTAACCAGGTGATAGCTTAATTGGTGCATGAGAGCCGAGCAGGTAGTGAGTGAAAATATGTGTTCGATTATTCTCAGTACCACATTTGGGAGAGGTTTAAATTAATTCTGGACTTGTCCCGAGTCGGATTAGTCATGAAACGATGAACTGATTAAATTATTTCCAAAAAAAAAGAACCTAATGTATTGGGGGTTGGATAGTGAGTAGTAGGTGTTGGGTTCGATTTCCGTATTCAAAAATATTAAAACAAGAATATTACAATTTATTTTTTTTAATAAAATGAAATTAAGTAATCATTCCTAAATTAAGATAACTATATCACACTTTTGCTTTATCAAATAAGAAAAAGTGGAAAATAGCATATAAATCATGAGATTAATATTTTTCATATTATAAGCGATAATTTTATCTCATACACATACACATATTCTGTTTAGGGTAAGAAAGCTTTTATGGCTATTAAAATTGATTTAGTTAAGGCTTATGATAGGATTTCTTGGAAGTTTTTGAGATGTGTTTTAGAAGAGATTTCTTTTCTTGTTCATTTTATTAATTTGATTATGTGTTGTGTGGAGTCGGCTAAGGTCAATGTGATGTGGAATGGAGGTAAGACTGGTAATTTCTCTTCTTCTAGAGGTATTAGGCATGGTAATCCTATTTCACCTTACCTGTTTGTCCTTGCTATGGAGAAATTGACTCATATTTTCATGACTGTTTTGAATGGTGGGTTGTGGAAGCCAATTCGTGTTGGTAAGGGAGGTCCTCAGATTACACATCTTGCTTTTGCAGATGACCTCATGGTGTTTATGGAGGCTAGTGTTGAACAGTATGAGGTTCTGCATAAGTGTCTTTCTTTCTTTGAAGAGGCTTCGGGCCAGAAACTTAGTGTTGAGAAAACAAGCATTTATTTTTCTAGAAATACAAGTGCTGAAATTATTAATGATATCACACAGAGGAGTGGCTTTAAGCATGTTAGGAATATTGGTCGGTATCTTGGGTCAATGATGAGACATGGTAGGGCCTCTAAGGATATTTTTGATGGGATTGTGGAAAAGGTTAGAGGTAAGCTTAATGGCTGGAATCAGAAAAGCTTGTCTCAAGCTGGCAAAATTACATTGTCAAGTTCAGTTTTGGCTGCTATCCCTTATTTTCAAATGCAAAGTGTAAGAACCTGCACCGTTAATTAAGGAAAATAATTAATTAAAGGTGTGAAATTAAGAAATAATTCCATAATTGACCTTAATAATTATAAGAAGGCTTAAATAAATATAGAAAGTGATTAAGAATGCCGAAAGCCGCTTTTCTGACGAAAAGTGCAGATACCGGTTATGCTACTCGGTATAAATGCGTATCGATGAAGTATCCCGAAAAATTATAAGAAGTGTGGGAATATTACTAGAATAATATATAGGACTTGTAAAACAAGTTTCAAGTCAAAATAATGAGAACTGGTGCCAAAACTGATACTGGCTATGGAAAAACGCGTACCAGAAAGGTGCTGCGAAAAATAATATAAAAATATGATAAATCTTGTAAAATTGAGTAGGTTTAGAATCCTGAGTTTGGGATTAAAATACTAAGCGTAGCTAATTATGATAATATTGTGTGTTTATGACTTAAACCACCATATATACTTATTTAAGGCACTAAACCCTAGGCCATAACACTATCCTACATGAGTTTTGATGGCTGGTCAGTTTGTGCTCTACTCCTTTGCTCCTCTTCACCATTTTGTGACCAAGTTGTCACCTTTTACTTGTTTTTCCTCCTCTGTCACCTTGTAAACACTTGAGTGAGTGTCTTGTGAGGGTGAGGTTCAGTTTTGCTGAGTTGAGGGTACTGTTTGGGGAAGAGTTTTGGGGCAGAGTTCCTTTCTTGTGTGGTTGGAGCTTTGTCTTGGTTATGGGAGCTCCAAGTGGTCATCTTTGTGAAGAAATGACCCACCTTGTAGTGCATTTTTGTGCACCATCTTATTCTGAGTATTTGGAGCTGTTTGGTGAGCTCCAAGAGCACTCCCTTCTCTGTTTTGAGCCTTGGGTAAGTTGTTCAACCTTTGATCATGAGTTTTAATGGTTAAAAAAGGTGTCTTGGCATGTTTAATGAGTTAAGCAAGTAACCAACTGTTATATGAACTTAAAAGAGGTTAAAAATGCATGCTTTAACGTTGGAATGGGTTAAAAACCTAACCTTTGGAAGAATATCTCGCGAAATGCAAAACTGCATTCTGTCGCAAAATATCCGGATATGGGGATCTGAATATCCGGATATTGGCAGAGAGATATCCGGATATTGGCAGAGAGATATCCGGATATTGATATCCGGATATGCCCCCGACAAATATTCAGATATTTTGGGTTTTTGAAGAACAATAGTTGCACTGTTCATACAAAATGATGTTTGGGGTTTGTGGACCCTACACTGGTTAAGTTGAGCTTCTGTATTGATTAGTTAAGTCAGAATCTAAGTGATTAAGGGCTTGTGGCTTTGTGAGAAGCCTTAAGACATGAAATGTAAAGGAAAGACGTTGTCCTTGTGTCTTATGCTTGTTAAGCATGAATAATGATATATTGTTGGTCCGAAACAGATTGTGATTCTGCTGTGTTTGGGCTTTGAGCTAGTGTAGACTCTTGGCAGTGGATAGTTAGCTTCCAAGGTAAGCTTTTGTGTCCTCGATTTAGCCATTGTTGGTTCCACCATGTCCTATGGGGGTATGGTTATATGCATGATGTTGTTTTCATGATATATTGATTTGTGAAATGTTGTTGAGCTGTTATATGCGAGTGCCTTTATGATATGCATGTGGTGTTCCACCTATACAGTAAACCTGATTATATGGTACACACAAGAGGGTGAGGTGCAAGCGGTGTTCCTTGTACTTATTGTGGGGTTGTAGACATACGTCCTGCATTTCTCTGGCCATTAGAATAGTGAAAACACACATGGCATGAATATCTGTTGCACTGCATAGTTTTGGAACTTATACTGTTAAATGCTTTTGAACTTATATTGCTCATGTAAGTGAGCTTGGGGTGAAAGATCCTTGAGGATCCCTTGTCTTACTGAGATTTCTTTTTAGAGATCTCACCCCACATTTGGGGCACATATTTCAGGTTCAGGTAATGCGGGGGTTGAGACCTCTGGCGGTAGGAGGCCGGAGCTTAGCTGATTATATATGTTGTATGCTGACATGACTGGATATTGGATGCTATTTATGTTTTCTGTCTTTATATTGATATTTGAGTTGAGACTCTTTTGTGGGCTTTGTTGCCTTATTTGGTGAGCATGAGGTTTGTCCATGCCACATTGATGTTAGTACTTTTAGTTTGAGTTGTATAAACTATCAGGGTTGTCCGGTCTACGTGTGGTAGTTCCGTGACTAGAGACACATTATGTTATTTATGTTATGAGGTATTTCAGTTAGCTGTCTTTTGCAATTTTCATACAGGCGATGTTTTATGAAATGAATTAAGTAATTCAACTTGGCTAATGATAATGACGTCATAATTGAAAAGAAAAAGATATTCCGTATTTTTAAATTAAGCGTGGCTTAATACGATGATATGATAACAAACCGGATATATACAGGGTGTTACACAAAGCACCAAAATTCCTTCTTCAATTTGTATGAGGCTAGAGCAACTTCAGAGGAATTTTATTTGGGGGGATATGGATCATGTTAGGAAAAACCATCTTATTAGCTGGGATACAACTACATTGCCTAAAGAGGTTGGTGGTTTGAGCTTGAAGCGGATGGAGCTGATGAATGATGCTTTTCTTGCTAAGAGGGCTTGGCTTTTTATGACAGATCCTGACCAGCTGTGGATTCAAGTTTTGCGGGCTAAATATGTAGCTAATTCTAGAAGAATTGGTTCTTTTAAAGTCTACAATGGTGATTTAGTTTTCTGGAGAAATATTTGCCGTGTTTGGAAGAGTATGGAGAGTATTTTAGCTTGGGAATTAGGTGATGGTAGAAGTATTAATTTCTGGGAGGATAATTGGATTTTTCCCAATCATTCTTTACTTGATTGTGTTCTCATGAGAGACTCTATTGTGCGGTCTGATGTTAAAGTTGGATATATGGTTACAGCAGATGGGGAGTGGGACTGGTTGCGGTTAAATCAATGGTTCCCTAGTAATATTCTCAATGTTTTGCTTGGTACTCTTCCTCTTAGTGATGCTGACGGTCCTGATAGGTGTTTGTGGCGTTTGGATGGTAAGGGTGGTGTATCTGTCAAAGCTGTTTATTCTTATCTTTTGGATCAGGTTAGTTCAGTTGGTAATACTAGGCATAATTGGTCCTATCTGTGGCAGTGGTTTGGTCCACAAAGGGTCAAAATTTTTATGTGGAAGATTATGCATGAGAGGCTTCTAACTAAGGCTCGAACTGCTCTTTGGGGTAATGGTGATGATTTGTGTCCGATTTGTGGATTTGAGAAAGAGACTGTCCTCCATTCCCTAAGGGATTGCTCGCATGTCTATTCAGTTTGGGTGTGCCTGGTGCCACCTGAGCATGGTGATAGTTTTTTTCTTGGAGATCTCGACTCTTGGCTTCATTTTAATTATAATTTGCAGTCTACAGATAGTACTATGCTGAATTGGTTGTCCGTCTTTTTTGTAGCTTGTTGGAAATTTTGGGTGTGGAGAAATGAAGTTTGTCATGGCTCTACAATGCCTTCGGTTATTGATAGAGTAAGGTTTATTAGAAATCTTGTTGATGATATTCAGCATGCTTGCTCTACTCAATCAAATCGATATGTGAAAAAAAGAACTATGGTTTTGGATATTTCATGGCAGTTTCCTGATTATGGTATGATTAAAATCAATTCTGATGGTGCTGCTCGTGGTTATCCTGGTTCTGCTGCTTGTGGTGGTGTGATGAGGGATGCCAATGGGAGATGGTTGGGTGGTTATGCTTATCGATTGGGTATTTGTAATGCTTTCAGAGCTGAATTATGGGGGGTGCTTAGGGGTTTGGAGATGGCTTGGAGCTCAGGCTATCACAATGTGATGATTGAAAGTGATTCTTCTAGTGTAATCACTCTGCTATCCATGAATGGTATAGCAATTCGTGAGTGTCATATGATATCTCGCATACGGATTTGGATTCGGAAAAATTAGACAGTTTCTTTTCGTCATACATTTCGAGAAGGCGATACTGTTGCTGATTGGTTGGCCAATTTTTTACTTGATGATCAAGAGCAGCCTGATAAAAGAGTTTGGTTGGATCCTCCTCCTGGTGTTTATTTTTGTTGGTTGCAGATTTGGCTTCTGTTTGTAGACCACGTGAGGTGGTTTGTAGTCCTTAGGTGTTCTTTCTGTCTGTTTTCCCTTTTGTTTGTTTGGGCTTAGGCTTTTTATTTATAAAAAAAGAGAGAGAGTGTGGGGCCTATGTGGAGGAGTGATGTGAAAAAAAGAGAGAGAAAAAAAACATAAACTGCACACATTTTTATATTATGTAGAAAATAAATTTTATCTCATATAAGATACCAGCATTAATCCCATAAATTATTACAATTTACAAAATTGAGTCTGCATGGAACGCTTAGTGAGCATGAAACAATAACATTATTCTAATTTATTTTATTTTATTTATTTTTTGTTTTGGGTGTGCAAGTTACTCTATAAATAATTATAAGTCACACCTTGGTGATTAAAAATACATATATGGTTTTGGAAATAGAAAGAAAATAATAAGATCGATCCTAAAAATTGGTTTATAATAGATAGGTGTTCATTGTTGACTGGTGGCAACCTAGTAGTAGTTTTTTTTTTGCATTTTGCATTTTGGCAGCGTAGAGAGGGCACAGAGAGACTGAGTAAGAGAGATATGGATTTGGACCAGTGGATCTCCAAGGTGAAGGATGGCCAACACCTTCTTGAAGACGAGCTTCAACTTCTTTGCGAATATGTATGCATTCCTCTCTTCATTTTCTCCATTTAGGGTTTTCAATTTACTTGTTACGCTACTTAGGGTTCCTTTTCCGAATGAACAAGATCAATCATTTACTTCTTTTTTTTTATTAATTACGTAATTTCCAAATCGGAAGTTGAATTTGCATCTAATGAGGTCAGAAAGAAACTTTAGGTCGCTTTTTTGTCCCCGATTGAGACCTTCTCTACTGACTTTGCTGGTTCAATTTCTGTTACTGTTGTGTAATTATCGTGCTAGGTTTGCAGGTTTTTATTTTTTTATTTTTTTATTTTGAATTTTAAATTAATGTCTCAGGTTAAAGAGATCCTTATTGAGGAGTCCAATGTGCAGCCTGTGAATAGTCCAGTAACTGTTTGTGGTGATATTCATGGTCAATTTCATGATCTAATGAAACTTTTCTCTACCGGTGGTCATGTGCCGGAGACAAATTACATTTTTATGGTATGCACTACACGAAACTGGATGATTTCATTATGCAATTTTTTACAGTATTTCCTTTCTTGAGTGATATATTTTTGCTAAATGTGTGCCAGGGAGACTTTGTTGATCGGGGTTACAATAGTCTTGAAGTATTCACCATCCTTTTGCTTCTAAAAGCCAGGTATTGTATTATTTCCGTGATTTCTTGTATCTATCTTGACTTGTTCATGTGTCTTTGAGTAATATTACTGTCTCTTCAAAGTTTTATCTTGATGTTGGAAGCATTTAAGAAGAGTTTATAGCATCCTTATGGTTGTAAATTTGTACTTTATTAATCGTGTTTGGATCTCAGATGTTAGAATTGTTGTGATTTTTTAGTTACTTTTTATTTATGCATCCTTTTTTTTTCCGGTCAATTTTATAGATACCCAGCTAATATTACCCTTCTACGTGGAAATCATGAAAGTAGACAACTAACACAGGTACGCTTTTATTCTATCGTATACTTGGCTACTGTGCTTGACATGAATTATTCTAGGCTTGTAGGATTTTAGTTTAAGTAACAACTTTTGCAAAAGTGGATAGTTTTTTGAAGATTTATGCTCCTTGTTATTCTTGCATGCTAATTCAAAGCTTAAAAATCATTTTTGATGAGATTGTTTGCATGACTTCATTGTATGTCACCACCAGAATAATGAGATGAATAACTCTAGACTTGTTGGATTTTATTTTTAGTAACAGTATCTGCTAAATAGGAGGGCTGTTGAAATTGAAAATTTCTTCACCTTATCGTTTTAGTATATGCATGATTTCATTGCATGTCACCTTACTATGTTATGTTATTTTCCACATTGCTTGTGCTGTTGAATTCACTGAGACAGGATTAGTTTCAATGGCCAATTAATGCCACCGTTCAAGGAAGAATTTGAATTAAGCCCCTGGCAATTCTAAATTTGGTCCTTTTGAAGTTTGTTAACAAGAAATAAGTAATCTAGAAGAGTCTACTGGGTAGGATTTTTCTGAAATTGCAATGAAGGTTTAAAGATGGTTGTTTAAGTTTGAAAATGACCTTGGGAGCAAATGTAGTTCAGGATGCAAACAGCATCTCATCTACCGTAGATTGAGGTTTGGGATTGAATAAGTAAAGTAGAAACCAGGTTGCTGCGATCCAAGATGTGAACTCTACTAGTTAGCCTTGGTGGGTTTTTGTTCATTGGTTACCTGATTTGTTTCTTGACCAATGCATTACTACGGGGAATTGACACTTCTGGACTTAGTGAAAAGTTGCCTTTGATATTGCAGGATAGTATTTTTGCCTTGGCTTTTGAAGAGCAAGTATGTTTTGGTTATTGGCATATCACTGAATGTGGGGGTTATATGCCATGTTCTAAATATAACTGCATGTGTTGTCATGGGTTCTAGTTATATTTAGTTTTTAGTAATTATTATCATAGATTATGTTGGAAGAAGTAGTGACCCTACTAAAGTGTTATCTGGAGATTACATTATGTATAGAAAAACAAAAAATAGTTTGTTTGATTTTTTAGCTTTATTTACTTTGGAATTACGTAGTACTAACTGGAGCTGCATTGGGTGCAAAATTGTTCTTACGCAAAACTTCTATTCTTTATTTACTCATAAACTATATTAGACTTGAAACAAGCTATGGCCGCTATTGATTCATTTGGTCCTTTAGCTTTTCTTACTTCCTTGAAGACTTATATGTGATAGGAAACATAAAAGCAAGTGAATTCCTAAAACAAGAGCACAATTTGTGCTTTTTCTAGAGCTTATATTTTTCCTTTTTTCTTTTAAATCTCATTCAAACGTGCTAAAATATATATGAAGTACTTATTTATTTCCGTTTTAGAAGAATCTTTTTTTATCCTATCTAGTCTAGTACATCCAAGTGAACCCTTAGTCTCATCTTTCTTCTTCTTGGAAGTAACGGCTTATTAAAGCAACCATGGTTGAAAATGTACGTAGGAATGTACTTATGTTCTGTGTGAGAGGTATGTGCAAGAGAAAAGTTATGGATAAGTTTTAGTGGTGGTGGTAAATGCAAAAGTTAATGTCTGACGATGCTTTTATTTTTATTTTGAGACAATTGCCTTTTTTGTGATTAGGTTCCATAGCTGGACTGGATCGGTAATTGTGATGAATTTAAGAAATTTTGTTCTGTTGGAAAAAATTAGAAGTCCTGTCCTTTGATTATATAATTGATTTGGCGGTGTATGCGCATATGAGCAATCAATCTAGTTTTGCTTTTTTCGTTCTCTTGTAGTAAGAAATGTCAAATTTTATGAATTCCTATTGTAAATTTTATAGATAAGGTTAAATTGTGGAAATGCAAACAGTATAAATGAGAAATGTCATAATTTATCATGCCAATTTATGTTAATTTTGTAACTTAACGTTTTGCTAGGTCTATGGATTTTACGATGAATGCCAGAGAAAGTATGGAAACGCAAATGCTTGGCGATATTGTACAGATGTTTTTGACTATCTTACACTTTCTGCAATTATAGATGGAACTGTAAGTCTCTCTTACTCTCTCTGTCCCTCCTCTCTATTCCTTATGCACATGTAAGTGGTGTATGAGTTTTTTTTGGTTGTTTTGAATTCTATTTGAATAAGGAATAAGTGTATTATATGCTTTGATTGTCCTAGGTGCTTTGCGTTCATGGTGGCCTTTCTCCGGACATTCGAACAATTGATCAGGTTCTCTAGCTTCCTTCTCAGTTTCTTGTCAAACTCAATATTGTCTAAATTTAAGTGAGGACATAATAACCACAATGAACTAGAAGGAAAACAAAATATGCATGAGTAGTTTACTCTTTTCAAAATTCAGTTACAAAAATGTGAGGACGATGAAAGTAAATAATACAAACAAAATTAATAAAATGTGTGTGGACGAGAAGTTAGGATATTTATAAAGTAATGTAAAGATCATTTTAGTTATTTCACAAATATTAGATAAAATGCAAATATGTAATAATGAAAAATAACCATTTATAAAACATAATAAAGTCATGTGTTTAGTACTATAGGAGTCATGCATGAGAGAACCAATTTTGAGGTGGTTCCACCTTATTGATAGCCCTCTCCTCTTAAGGATGACCTTTTCCCCAAGGCCAACTTCATCTAAGAGGTAGCCTTTTTATTTCTCAATCCAAGTCATATCATATCATCATAGTTGGGCGGCTCCATCTTGTTAGTTTCCTTCTTGTTGTTGAATAAAGTATTCATATACATAATTATGTGTACCCAGGCCGTAACCCCTGTTAGTGGCTAGATGATTCTAACAGCAATCCCCTAAAATATATAAATTTTGGTTCATACCAAATCTATTTCTATTCAACATTAACATCACCTTTATTCCAAATTAGTTGGGGTCGGCAGTCGTTGAACCTGTATAAAAGCGAGAACAGATTAAGGAAAAATAAATAAGAAAAAAGAAAAAATAATATATATATATGGGGCAGGATCTTCTTACACCGGTATAAGAATTACAATTTTACACTCAATTTTAACCGTTGATTTTTGATATCTGACAGTAATAATTTATTGAGAAAATAATTAATTAATGAGAATAATCCAATTAATTATAGTTGTTTGATGGACGGAAATTAACTGTTAAGATTGAGTGTAAGATTTGTTATTCTTACGCCGGTGTAAATTGATCCTGTCCATATATATATATTCTACCACTCCACAATGCTAATAGCTTTCCTTCACTGCATCCTAAGACAAACCACATGCCAATCTATTTTTTATTTTATTAAGTCTTGGTTTACTATTTCCCCCCATGTAAGTTTTGTCCTACCTTTTCCTTTCTTTATGTCATACTTTCTATAAAAAAATTCTTTTCTTACTAGAGCGGGTATTTGAAGAACATTCTCAAACTATTTTAATCTATATTCTCTCATCTTTTCTTCCACTTGTGCTTCTCCAACTATACATTGAAACCAAACACATTTCTAATCATATAGAAAAATTCTCAATTCTCATACTTTCAATTTCAACATTTAATAATCAAATGCTATCCAACATTCTCAAAATAATTATTCCTATCCTAATTCATAAATATGATGATGTCATTCTATAAAAATCCGTAATGTAGGAATTTATAAGTGATCAAACACAATATGAAAATTTTGTTTTTTGCCTGCATTTGTTATTAAACAATAATGATATAACAAAATATGTAAAAATGATAATAATAAATTATGCAACCATGATCTTTATCTACTCATAGCTCTAAAGAGCCAACTAAATCACTTCCAATGACTCCAGAGAAAGCAAGCAGGTAATAACCAGTGGATCTAAACACAAACAAATATTTTGGTAAGGCTTTATAATTTGTTTTAGAATAAACTAACAATAGGTAGAAAGGAAGTTAGACAAAATGCGTAGATATATACTCAAAGGTCTAAAAAACCTACCCAAAACAATCTATGCTAAAAAAATTGAGTTCAATTTTTTTGGGTAATCGGTTTACCTCAAGCGACAAATAAGCCAATTATAAGGAGTGCGTAGAGCCCATTTCTCCCCATAGCACCATTCTTAACTCCCAAAAATCACTCAAAGATTTGTTTACAAGAGAAAAGGAATGTGTAGAGCTTTAAAGTTTCACCAAAATTTCAAAATAATGGTTGGAATGAAGAGAAAATGGAACACAAATGAAAGGAAAAGAAAGAAAAAAGGAAGGACAGGGGGAGGGGGATGAAGATGATCAGGACGAAAGAAAAAAATGAGAAGCTTCGAAAAAAGACTTGGCTTGTTTTGTGTTTTAAAATGGTTCGTTTCGCTGTGTGTGCATTTGGATTGTAACGTATTTTGTATTTGGAAAAACATAACAGATGGAACTTTGTCTGAAAAGCTGTTATTTTATTTTATTTTTAAATTCACATGGACATTGTATATGTGAGAATGTCCATCCTTGCCTTTTCTGTTTTCCAATACATCATATGTATGGGTGATTTGTATATATGATATGCTTGTAATTTTTGTACCTCGACTTTGGCTTGATAATGTCAAGTGTTGTAGTGTTCACCTAAATTTACTTGCTGATTCTCCCTTTTGCTCCATGTTCCAGGCTCTTCAGAGGATAAAATTGTAAAATATCACCATTTGAATAAATTAATAATTCTGTGCATGGTTGGATGCATTTAATATTTCCTTTTCCTTTTTACCAGTAAATTAATAATGTGATCTATTTTTGTTTGTCTTCAGAAATGCTTGTGTTTCAATTCGATGTACTTGTTTGGTTTAACTTTTAACAGTAACAAATTATAATATTGGAGCAGAAAAATTAGCTAAATTCTAGAAGCTACTTTTTCGGCACTACAGTAAACAAGCACAATATAGGTTGTTTGGTCATTTTCTGTTATTTGAATAATTGAAATATTTTTTGTTACTTTTTTAAAAGGTGAATAATGATGTATATTGGTTTAAATATAATAATATGCATCTTATGGCAGATAAGGGTCATTGAGCGGAACTGTGAAATTCCTCACGAGGGGCCATTTTGTGATCTAATGTGGAGTGATCCTGAAGATATTGAAACATGGGCAGTCAGTCCTCGTGGAGCAGGCTGGCTTTTTGGATCCCGGGTCACTTCCGAGGTAATGTAATTTAATTGTCAATTTCTTATCAAATTAAACATTATGTGTGAATTTGACAAGTGCATTGTTTTCTTGCAGTTCAATCACATAAACAATCTTGATCTTGTTTGCCGAGCACACCAACTTGTTCAAGAAGGCCTTAAGTATATGTTCCAAGATAAAGGCCTGGTAACTGTAAGTATCTGTTTCTTTTGAAATTTTTAAGAGATTTTTTATTTTTTTTAATTATCTGATTTTTTTGTGTTATGGTCATTTTGCAGGTATGGTCTGCACCTAATTACTGTTACCGTTGTGGAAATGTAGCTTCTATTCTTAGTTTCAATGAAAATATGGTCAGTCACCTGAAGCTTGTTTAATTTCTAAATATGTTTTAAGGATTATCTTGTTTACTGCATCATTTGGTCTCATGATGTATGTGGTGCCTTGTTTTCTGCATATTTCATATCCTCTTTTTTGATGCATCAAATAATATTCTTTCTTGTATGATCTTCATATCAAAGGAATTGAGAGACAGGAGAATACATGTCTCCTTACTCACATAGTTGTTGGGAGTGGGACACATTTATTCTTAAAACTTGAATGGTGCTATTCAGCACAAAAAGTGACGTCTTGAGGGATACTGGCAAGTCCAATACAGTTTGAACACTGATGTGCATACAATGTGTCAGTCACATATGGCGTGTAAAAGAAATTTTTTATTGATCGTTAGGGTTATTTTTCGAGTACTGGTGGAATCTGAAATCTGGACATTGCCAATTATTTCTTCTTGCTTCAAAACGATCACTTTTATGCTAGAGGTTTTGCTCTTTAATTGGATGGTGAGAGGGAGAACATTCAGGAAGAAATGAAGAGAGGGGAGTGTGGTGACTGCATTGTCTCCCTCAAGCTGCTGCTTGCTAATATGAGTCCGTAATATGAAGGCTGAGGTGGGAGCTGAAAGGTGTTTCTCTAAGCCAGGATTAGTATTTCCTCCTGATTATGGAAATGTGTCAGTCACATAAGTTAATGTTGAGATATATAATCCCACATTAGTTGCCCATACAATCAATGTGGGACTATATATCTCAACATTAACTTATGAGGCAAGTTGTACATGGGTTTAAACTTTGAACAAAAATAAAATCCTATAAAATATTTATAAAGGAATCATGTTAAAATATTAATTCATTTACTTGAAGTTACACATTTATTTTCTTGTAGATGCTGCCAAAGTTTTAGGATTAGATGGAAAAAGGGAAAAAAATGGAGATGTAGAGGGAAAGCATTAAAATATATTTCACTACCCTTAGGCTTTGTCTAATTGCGATATAAAACAATCACGTAAAACAATAACTAATTGATTGATGCTCAAACTATGACTTAAAAGACAAATAAACCCTTTATTTTGGTTGCACTACAAGTAAATGCTTGCTTGACTAAAAGCATTCCTATTTCTCAGCACACCCCTTCAAGCTGAAATAACTCAGCTTGTTACATATAAACAACTTAACACAAGAAGCATCAAACTTAAACAGGGAAATTTGTAAATTAGTGGGCTTAGTAGATCACAGCATGTATTTAGCTTTGCAAACAATGATACTTGCAATTGTGATGCAATTGAAGAAATAAGCAACATTGCAGACAACACAATGAGAAGATGATTATAAACTTAGAATGACTCAGCTGAAGGAAGGGCGGGTTGGAATGATATCGGGCCGAAGCAAGAGTGACACAACATAAAAACGTACAACTAGAATAGGAAGACTGTTGGAAATCAAAGCGGCGGGAAAGAGAGATATGCTGGCTACACAAAATTAGGCCAAAACAACACTAAACTTTTTTTTTGGTATTTCTCCATTGGTTTATTGATTGCCTGACTAATTCTTGACTAATTCTGTTCGAGCTCGGTCGGACTCATATTTAGGGGTGTGGCTCTCCCAAGATCATTTTTCCCATTCCTAGGGCTTGAACTTTGAGACCACTAGTTAAGAGGAACAAGCTCCTTCCTATTTGAACCAATGGTTGTTGGTTCTAATTAACTTTTAATTATCATTCCCTCCATTATCAGTAAAATAACTTCACAATTGAGAACTGTAGATGCATAAATGTTGAAGAAAAGGTGTTCGTTATTAAATGACCCCAGGAAAGAAGTGGCTCAGCTCAGACTAGAAAATGGCTCTGGTGGTTAACCACTTCCCATTAAACCCTGATTAGCAAAGGTAGGGATAAGGGCAATCTTTGTACGCAGCCTTATCTTTGCATATTTGCAAAGAAATTATTTTCCGGATTCAAACCCGTGACCTTTACCAAAAAAAGGGAAAACGGTTCTGGTGTGCATGGGAAGGTTTTTGATGGAGCTTCTGGTTTCCTGATGATCAGAGCTCTCTGGTTCTGATGGCAGGATATATTTTGCGAGATGACAGTCAGAAATGAATGGAACAAAGGTGACTGTTTTAGTAGGATTTTCCAGTGGTTGAATTGGTAAGACTCCAGGAATGTTAGGAAACAGAGAGCTTGGAGAAGCACGTGTGAGCACTCCCTGACCATGATGGGGGTGCTGCCTTCTCAAGGCAATGACAGAAACGGGGGGAAGTGACAATATTTGAGGCAGGTGAGGATGGAGATAGTGAACAAAGATGCACAGGAATGATTCTAACTTAAGAGAGTGAAAATAGAGGGCAGCAAACTAGTTTCAGATTTTGGAAACTCTACTGGCCAAACAGAAACATAGGTCATCGAGAATGTTACCACTCTTATATCATGTTGAAATTTGAGATCTGGTGAAAAAGGGAAAAATACAGAGGCAGCATGAAAATATGTTTCTCTTACGAGACTGAGTAATTGTGGTACAAAATGCTAACACGTTTATTCATATATACTAATATTATGGCTATGAAAAGGCTACCATACCCTTTATTTGGGTACACTGTAAGTAAGTACTCGCTCAAACATTGTTATAAATTGGTTTGTATTTGCGGTATGGACCTGTATAAATACTTGCAGTTGAGGTATGGACCTGTATAGCTCCTTACCACAAGGGATATCTATCGTTTGTCAAGTTGCACAACGGCTTTTATAGAAAGAGGTAGAGAAATATACTTTCTCAGAAGAATAAATTACAGAAGTATGTTGTTTGAACTCTGATATTTGCGAGTTTGTGGTGTTCGTGGTAGTTGGCCTGCTACGGTTACTTGCCATTAAGGCCACCATCATTATGCCAGATTTGTCCATGATGATAGAATCTGCTATCTTTAACCCTATTTATTTGATATTAAGGTGGTAATTGTACAGAAGTAGCTGTCAGGCATAATGAAAGTTACTATCTTGTAGCATGCATGATATTTGGTTGTTGATACATATTGTTATGTGCTCGGAGATCTTGTAAACCTGGATTTTAATGATTGTGATCATGCTTACAAGTTACCACCATTTTGTTTATAGACGCTTACATTTTTTCTTGTAACAGGAGAGAGAAGTTAAATTTTTCACTGAAACAGAGGAAAACAACCAGATGAGAGGGCCAAGGACAGGCGTTCCATATTTCTTATAACTTGGCGAAGTTTTGGTTGAATTTATTGTAAAATTATATAGTAAATGGCTGACTATTATGATTGGACGTTGGTAGTCATGTATTGTGGAGATTCAAATGCATTGTTTTTTCAATGATGGATCTTATTTTTGGCATAACATTTCCCAATCTAGTTTCGTGTGCTATGTGTTACTTCCTTTTATCGGTTATTTGACAAACTAGATACATATCAAATGGCCCTTGGATCACTCTGCATTGCCTCTCCTTTACGGGATTCGGTTGTTTTTTAGACCTACCTTTGCGACCAGCATTACCATTGTTTCAGCTCATTCATTGCAAAAAAAGGAACTTTATGCAGAGGAACTTTAGTTTTCATATTAGACAAGATGACCAATTATTGTTTTTTAATCGAAAAACTTAGTTTAAAAGGTATTATGGCAATTTAGAGTTATTAATAAAGAAAATGATAGAAGTTAACATTAACGAAGAAAGAAAAAACATAAACTTAATTTTGACAGAGATAGAGTTTGACTTTGTTGTGGATTATGTTTATTAATTTCAATTATTAAATTATGGGAAATTTTTTGTCTTTTTGAAGGATATAATTTTGTGTTCTTTTAAATAAAATATATATTTGAGGTAATATTTAGTCAATTAAAGAAAAGGAAAATTATTTGTCATTTTAAATGAAATTATCATATTTTAGTGCATATTTGTTGGTTTTTTACTTTTTATCTCTTCTATAATGCTATCTCTTTCTTTCTTAATTTTATGGAGGAGAGAGAATATGAAAGGTCAACAAATATATATAAAAATGGGTAAAGGATTTCTTCGGTCACCGGAGATAAAGTTGTCTCCAGTGAATTCAAAACAACATCGTTTTGAGGCAGAAATCAAGATGTTTTTGTAATTATAATATATTATAGGGTTATATTAGTCTTTGTCATTATAAGTTTTTGATCTTATAACTGAAAACGACGTCGTTTTGAGCTCACTGGAGATAACTTTATCTCCGGTGACTGGAGAAATACTTTTCCTTATAAAAATATGGTCATTTAATTTAAAATGACATAAAGTTCAATTTAAAAATAAATAAAAGGAAAATTTTGATAAATAAAAAATAATTAGTTATATATTATAATAAAACACTACAGTTTCACTTAAAAAGATAAATACTTTCATCATAAATTATATATAAAAATATATGTAGATATCTAATATATAAACAAAATAAAAATACACAAAATAAAATTAAAAAAACTACATTTAAATAAAAAAGAATTGAACGAATTGATTTTTTTTAACAATGGCATGTTCCATTTTTTTTATTTAAAAGTTATTTTTTAAGTCATTCATTTGTTGTAGTTTTATCTTTTTATTTTCTATTTAATGAATAATTTTGTGAAAAAAGTGTGTATCATTTTAAAAGATACTCATTTATATCCTTTTAAGAGAGATAAAAGAATAAAACATGGGGAAGAGAGAGTGGAGGGAAAAAAAATTTAATTTTAATTTCAAAAAAATACACTACTTTTATTTAAAAGGACTATCCTTTTAAATGATACACACTTTTCCCTAAGTTTATATATTAAATACTTTAACATATTTTATTATATAATTTAATAATTAAAAATCAATGGATATAGTTAATAAAAAAGTTAGATTCTCCCTCTTCATAACAACTGAATTCATGTTTTCTTTTTTCTTTTATTAAAGTTAGCTTTTGCTCTATAGTTTTCTAATTAAATTTAATAACTTTAAGCTGCTAAAATATTATAAAGACTAAGTTAATTAATAAAAAAAAATTAGCCTTTTTGTTCTAAACAAAATATAGAGGTTGACTAACAATCACGTGTGTAAAGTTGAAATGCTAAGATGTTTTTAAAACACAACCACATGTAACCCTTGGGGGTGGAGCCAAATTTACCACTTTAAATTAAGTTTAATCAAAATCAGTAATTATTTTTCTCCTAAATAAAGGGCCATCAACAATCTTACTCAGCCTCTAGCTTAGCTGCTTCTCATGGGACTCACCAACTCATTCATAACTACAAGGAGAATTAAGTGATAGAAACTATATAAACGCTCTTAAACCATACATCCAATTCAACGAGTTATATACCACAAGGGTCTGTTTGAAGCACCTGATAAAGAAGATAGGATATGATAACTTATCATATCCTACTTTTATCTCTTGTTTGATGGGTCAATAGGATATGTTTAGCTTATCCTATTGTCTCATTTTATCCTATCCAATACATGATTTCTTATCCTATAGGAGAGGAGCTGAGTTATGATTCAATAGGATAGGATATCAATATTGGATACCCAATATATCCTCACGCTACCCAATATATTTGTATTTATTACATTATATTTTCTTTTTTCTTTTTTCTTTCTCCTTCTACATAATCTTATGAGATTGTTGATCAGGTGTCATCAAACACATGACATGATATAGGTTTATCAGCCTCATATCATATCATATCCTACCCTTATCAGCTCCATATCATATCATACCCTTATTCTGTCCACCAAACGAGCCCCAAAGGTTTCAAGTACCCTAACTCTTCCGATGAGGAATTGGTCTTCACTAACGTTATATTACTATGTTTTTCCAAGGACATAGTTATAAATCTGATTAATCAAGAACTTTTGCGTAATATAATATGATCAGCAATGACATGCATTAGTTTTATATTCCTCGAAGCAGGCTAGAACTTGGGATAAAACCATTTTGAGTTCCTTCGGTATGATTAGCATACACATAGCTTGTAGCCTAAGGACAAAATTCTTTAAATTTCACAATCTCTCAGTATAATGTTCAATACAGTGCTGGAAAGACATGGCAAAATGAATAAAACTTGATGAGTCAACCTGTGAAAATGGGGCCGGTTGGATTATGCATTTCAACCCATCAATCCAAATAACATGCCCATAGTAGGGAGGATTAAAACGTATTATAAACGAGGCGGGTCAATCCACATGTAGTTTTTTTAAAAAATATATTAAATATTAGATTATGGCTTGATTGATACGTGCGAATGACTATTATGTAAGACAAAAACTTTTCTTTTAAGGCCATAATATTATTATTTTAGTGCAAATATTATTTTTTATTCACTTTTGATTTGACAGAAAAAAATATTAACACAAAAAATAAAAGAAACTTAAGCTAGTTTTTGGATTTAAATACTAGTATGTAGTATCTATATAAATAAAACTAATACTGATGAAATTCTTATTACATGATCCAATGATGTGTTCGTTTACAAATATTTACATGTTTGATGTCACTATTTTGTTATATAATAATGCTGAAATTATTAATTAATATTAAGATATGATTTGTATGGTTATGTTAAATGAAAGTATTGGTTTATGTTGTAAAATATATGTTTTAATATGTGGATGACTCTTTGGTTGCCCATGACCTTTGATGTATTATGTAACCACAATATTAATAGTGCATTCAAGGGTTTTTTTGGTGTGATGTATAAAGCTTGATAGTATAAGTTTATATTATATGTTATGACATTTTTAATTGTTTGGTGTGACCATCGTATAGTATAAACTTATACAACATAATCTCTTAATACATCAAAATTATGGTATAACTTAATCAGGCCTAATATAACTTAATGAGGTGAGATTAGGCCTGATAATAGATCAGTGTATTAAAATCGTTGACCAATGCAATTATCAAGAACTAATATATTATTTTAATGTTAATATATTAAAAAAATTAATTTTTCAATATATTAATTTTTAAAATATAGGAAATTTTTATTTTTTATAAAAATTAATATATGTTTTGGACACATTGATCAATAGATTTTTATAAAAATTAATATCATATGACAGATTTGGAAGAATTATATAATTCTTTATTAAAGAATATTTTTATTAAAATATTTATTTTTATTCTATCTAGTATTAAAAAGTGCATTACCAAACACCGGATGATATTATCTTATACAATACATTTATCTTATACAAAATCATATCAAACGTTGGATAATATTAAAATTTAATCAGGTCTTATACAATTAGACCTTATACTATTATATCAAGCCTTATCCTATACACTGCACCAAACATGCTGCAAGTGTACTTACTTCTTTACTATATTCAAAGTCCTATATAAGAACATGACTCTTGTAAAAATTATTATGAGGATGAATAATAAGATTGCTGTGACATACTTTCCTCTACTTTTCTCTTGTACCCTCTACACTTTTTCCTTAATTTTATAACAGTTTAAATCATTCTTTTGTCTTTAACTTATTGCTTAAGTTTTTCTTTTTAAACTTGAGAAATATTTAGACGTTATTAGATGTTAGAAATAAAAAATTATATTAATATGTTTAGATATCTTTTTAATATTTAATTTTTTAAACGGATTGACGGAGTTGGTTAGTATTTTCAATCCACTCACCAATGGTGGATCAACCCACTCTGTCTCGTTTTTGGTAGGTTGATTTGTTTTGCCAAGTACATAATCCTCAAGGATTTAGAATACCACAAAAAAAGTATTGAATTTATCGCAAATAACAGCCTAACGTGGAGAGGGAGGCTTTTTTTGCTTTCATCAATTTGAATTCTATATTAGTAGTCTTCATTTCATTTAATAGTAGTTTAGTATGTAACCATTTATGATCTTGTACTCATTTATCAAGAAATTGGATTACCAAAACCCTTTATAAGTAATACTTTCACTGATAGGGTAGGGGGCACCACATGATAAGTGGATTTGAGCTCAAATCTCAACCCAAAATCATAAAGTAAAGAGTCTATGAATTTTCTCCACTTATATGATTTTCACTTAATTTATTTCTAACTAATGTGAGACTCCCTGCTCACACTTTAATATCATTTGCAACACATTTAACTAAAGTTTCCTTTTTCATTTTTATTTTGCGTTATGAACAAATTATCATTTTTATTTTCCATTATGAATAAAATATAATAAGAATGCTACACAATATATGATTATTGGAAGACGAATGGAAATTAATTACTGAAGACAAAAGAAGCGAGTAAAATGCATCTTTACTTGGAGAGCAAGGAAGAACAAATCAAGAGAAGGGAGCAACTTACAGTTTTTCCTCTCATTAAAATTGAAATCAAATGTAAAATAAAAAGTAGTGCACAAGAACTTTAAAACACAAATGTAACATGAAGTATGAACAAAGCAGTTTTTAAGTGAGCATAATTTTCAGCTTACAAACCAGATGCAAGTAGATAGACAATAATTAATGGTGCCATTTTATCGGCATCGTGGCTATTTCAAGAGTTCATAAGACGATCCATGACCAATTTGACAACTCTAGGAGCATCAACTGTCACAGCTACCTTTACTGTTGGCTTATTGGACCATTCAGTGATTTCACCAAACCTGGTTTATTACAAAGAGAACAAAGGTATATAACTGAGAAGGTATATATTGAAGGTACTGCAAAGACAAAGTTGACAAGAAGTTTGAAATACAAGGTGAAGAAAAAGAAAAAAAAAATCATTACAGAAGAGGTTTTTGTGTAACTCTCCTTCCTAAATCATCCATTGTATTGGACTTTTTCATTGTTGAGAGCTGTTAAAAAACATTGCTGAGTAAAAAGGGAAAGGTAAAGAAAAAGACTTAATTCATTCTTTCTCTTCCTTTTTACCATGAAAGAGAAGTGTAAAGTGTGGGAAATGAGGTGTAAGAATAACATTGTTGTATATATTAATTGAAAGATGCATAAATAAGCATTAACACTTACATTACATGCATAAATTGGATGAAACTAAATGTTGATGGGCCAAGCTCCTCAAGTACTATGCAATCTGGTTGTAGAGGGGTTATAAGGGATTCAGTAGGAAATTGGGTTGTGGGTTTCTGTAGGAATCTAAGATGTGGAAACGTTCTAAATGCTGAACTATGGGCTTGTTTAGTTGGCCTAAATCTCAGTTGGAACAAAGGATTTAAACTTATTTGGTTGGAAGAGGACTCATTGGCGGCTCAACATCTCATTAGAAATGGTTGTAGCGAAACACACCCATCTTTTCCTTTGGTAAGAAGCATCCGCGAATTGGTGACCAGAAACTGGAAGGTGCACATCTCTCATATTCATCGTGAAGGAAAGAGTGTGGCTGATTGGCTTGCCTCCTATTCTTATGAGTTTAATTGCTAAACTCAAGTATTTGATGATCCTCCACAAGGATGCCTTGGCAGATTATTCTGTGACTCTATAGGAATAGGGTGGCCCAGAATTTGTAGCTAGCTTTTTGGTTTTTGTTTTTATCTTCCTGTTAATTTCCAAAAAAAAAAAAAAAACTGTAGCATGTAATTTGGCTCACTACAAATTATTACTTAATCCTAGAACACTTTCCTAATAAATAAAAACTTTCCTGGAATCCTCAACAAAGTCCATGTCTTACATGAAACAAATCAAAGACATAAAAGCTTGATGCATGTGTGATACATTTGGACGGTGTTTACAACATTTGGGACCAAAAACTAAGCTGCACTAGTCTAAGACCAAGCATAAAAGCTTTTGTGATCAAAATTATAATATCAGGTGCATAAATGGAACAAATCAGAAACAAGTGTGGAAATGCCAATATAATGTCAGAGTCCATATACTACTGGACCGTACACACTTTACTACTAGCCAAGTTACAACTCAAGAAAGGTCATCCAATCTTCGACAACCTAAAGGGTGTGCCTCCTTTAACCCATATAAATAGGCACACCATTCCCCAGGTTATGTTCTTTATTCATCCTAAACACTGTAAATCCACCTATGGATGCTAACTTAACCACTAGAGTGTCTTTACAGGTAGCCCCACTACCGCGTGTTTGGTGAGCAAGATGCAATCTAGCAACAGCAGAGTTACTGCAGATGAACTTTCAAGTTTCAGGTAGGAACATTTATCTTCACCTACTAAATATGTTAGACTGTAGTTGAGAAATGTGTACTGCAATAGCTCTTCCTAATCAAAAGAAGGAATACATGAACAAAAGGTTCATGAATCCACATAGATTTATGTTTCTAATAGTTTAAGACAGTTTGTTACTATGGTTGCACTTTTCATATCTGAAGCAAGATCATTCTTATGTCTCTCTACAATCAATTAGGAATGAGGAATAAAGAAAAAATATGCTTAACTTTTAATACAATTCAAACTCCTATCAAACTTTAGGCTAGAAATTTGTGGAAAATTGTTTACTTCCTTTTCTCCTAGAGAAATATCTACTAGATCAAACTGAAAATGACTAAAGATTGATATCAAGCCAGCACAAAGTCAAGGATATACCTAAAACAATACAACAAACACGGCAAAAATATACATTTACCACCTTGGGAGAAAGCAATCCCTTATTTATTGGTCTTCATCTGACACCATTTTTTTTCTTTTTACTTACAATGATACAATATCTGATACAGCTCAATGGCATTGTTTGATCCACATAGCCAACCCCACCTATTGGGATAAAGCTTGGCGGTTTCTGTTGCTCATAAAAAGTTTCAGGACGAAGTGCAATTCCATCCCATCTTAACACACTATTTTGCATAATTTGGAAATAATTATAACTTGCTATGAAATGAGGGTTAGCATGCATATGAATATAAAGAAATCATTTTAGCCAGAATCCTCTAGGGGCTTATATAATTTGTTAGTGGTTTCTACCTTTTTTGTTTGTTGTAGAGTATTGTGAGTCCTCTTGTAATGCCACTGGTTTGGACTCTAACAGCACCCTCCATGCAAGTTACAAGTGAAGGATCAATAGCTGCAAGAATGGCTGCTGGGTCATGAAGGTAAACCCCTGTATACAAAACAAAAATAATTAGTAATTCAGGTCATTTTTTTGTCTCTCCCAGTTCTTTAACGTGGAAGACAAACCTTTGATATTGTATGCGTCATGATGGTAAGAGAAATACACCTCTAAGATTTTGGTCAAGTATTGAGCAAATTTTCCATTTGAACTTGCCAACTTTTCTCGATCAGAACCTAGTCATTTTGTTTTTTGGATTAGAAAGACACGAGCCATAATTAAAATAGCAGCATGGTCATGCTGTTCAACTGATGTTGTGTTCTGTCAATGATAAAAGTGTGTAAATATAAGACACGAAGTTTGATCATTGAAATGGTATCAAAGTCTATATAACTAACTGGTCAAGAGTTTGATCATTTCACCCCTTTTCTTCTAAAAAAAAGGTTCAATTTCAATATATGCATTGTCAGCGCTTCAAGTCCAAAATACTCTTACATAAGAGAGTGTGATAAACATAAAACCAATTCATGAGCCTTCACATAACGGGTTAAGCTTTTGAGAGAGTTGATCATTAACAATTATAATGAATTTTTTTCTTAAAAAAAAGAGAAAAGCAAAAAGAAGTCATTGAAGTTAGTAGCAGTTTTTGAACTCTGTATCTCTCTCAATCCAACATATGGAGGGATCTTTCTCTGCCCTTGGCATTGTTTGCATTAAAAAAAAAAAGCATCAACCAAGAGTTTCCAAAGGCAATACCACGAAAAATGAATATATGCTGACTAACCCCAATAAATAAGAATGAAATCAAGTGTACACTGCAAGACATAAACAAATTAATTGATTGTTACACACAGTACATTAGAAAATTGTCATCCATATACTCAAGGTAAACATACCATGTTTCATTTGAAAAAAGATTGCTTCTAATTCTTATCTATACTCCATTTTTTCTATTATTTATTTTGGGGGTGGGATAGACAGTAAATGAAGGAACTATTTAGTAATCTACTGAACTATTTATCCATTAATTAAAGAAGGTCTTCAGAGAATACTAGTTCAGATGGGAAGACTTGTATTGAGTTCAGTTGAGCTAAAGCTTAATTTAAGAGAACTTACTAAATATAAAACTAAATTAAAAAATATTCCTATCAAATGGTACTGTATGGATGATGCCTATAACCTGAAAGAAGAATCAAATAAAATTACCATAACCATTAAAGAAATAAGACATTTTAAAAGTTGTAAACCATACAAAACTAACCAAAGGAAAATTATCCATTTAAGTAAAGACCATATGACTACATCAGTATAGCAAAAATGAATGTGTAGGAATATGCCAAAGGGGTACCTGTCAACACAACTTGATGTGTAACATTTATACCCACTGCTAGTACATCTGCCCCACTTGTGAATACAACATCTGCAGCATCTGGATCACCAAATATCTGCAACCAAACACAACCAAAGAATGAGACAGATTGAGCTAGTAAATTATATAATATTTTCATGTAAGTTATTGTAAAGAACCAATTTAACCCAAAAGCTTAAGCTATTGGGTGAGACTACATTAATGACTTTATATATCTCTCTAACACCCCCCCTCACAAGAGAGCTTATTGGGCTTGAAAGGTGGATGATGCATTAGACTCAGCCTATCTGTGCTAAGAAATTCCACAAAGAAAATGGGGGGCGGTGAGGATCGAACCCGGGACATCGAGGCTCTAATACCATGTAAGGAACCAATTCAACTCAAAAGCTTAAGCTATTGGGGGAGGGCCTTTTTAATGGTTTATACTATTCTCTAACAGTTATATTTAAGATTTCAAAACAGAAGGAAACACTCACATTGGCTTCAGAGGCTGGATTCACATTGCCATTTACTGCAAAAGCACCACCAAGTAGAACAATCTGCCCAATGTTTTTAACAAATTCTGGGTCTAGCTGTATAGCCTGCAAAATAGAATCTTGTCATGAAAAACAGTATGAAGAGTAACATGAAAATGATATATTAGAAATTGTGCAAATATCAGACCAAAGCAATATTTGTAAGCGGCCCCAATGCCACCACTGTGACTTTGCCAGGGTTAGCTTTTGCTTGATGAACCAAAAAAGCAGCAGCTGATTCTTCAAGGGGCTTTCCCTTTGGTGGAGGAAAATTTTGGTTACCAAGTCCATCTGCACCATGGACAAAATCTGCAATACGAAGTTTTGTTCCATTCTGTACAAGAGACAAGAATTACAACAGTTATTTGAATCAAATACTAAGATATACTACAGAACTTTTTATTCCACACTAAAAATACTGCATAACTTCTTCAGTGAGGTGATAAACTACAATGTACTTGAAATGAATAAACAGATTTCTATGAACAGTGTAAAGAACCTTGAGATACACTATTCCAAAAGTTAGCTCAAAGGGTGGGAGTGTCCAAGGCCTTATAAACTCCATATTAGTTGCTCATACAATCAATGTGGGACTGTATATCTCAACACACCCCCTCACACGAGAGCCCATTCGGCTTGAAGGTGGACAATGTACAGGCCCACGTACCGGTGCTAAGAAATTCCACAAAAGAAAGTGGGGGGCGGCGAGGTTTGAACCCAAGACACGAGGCTCTGATAACATGTAAAAAACCTTGGGATACACCACCCCAAAAGCTAGGTTAAAGGGTGGGAGTGCCCAAGGCCTCATACAAACACGCCCTCTCACATGAGAACTCATTGGGCTTGAAGAGTGGATTTAAGCTTTTAGGTGAGGCTACATTAATAGTTTTATATATTTCAACACGCCCCCTCACACGAGAGCCCACTGGGCTTGAAGGGTGGACAATGCACAGGCCCACCTACCTGTGCGAACAAAGAAATTTCACTTGAAAGAAAGTGGGGGGCGGCGAGGATCGAACCCGGGACACGAGGCTCTGATACCATGTAAAGAACCAATGTGGTACACCACCCCAAAAGCTAGCTCAAAGGGTGAGAGTGCCCAAGGCCTTATAAACTCCACATTAGTTGCTCATACAACCAATGTGGGACTATATATCTCAACAAACAGAAAATATAGATCAATTATCTTGTCTAAGACTAAAAAAACATTAAAATTCAGTGATCATACAGGTTTATACGAGGAAAATAATAAAATGCTGACGATATAAGACTAAACGCATGTGTGCCTCTGAAAATTTCAAGTGTGCAGGCTACGCAATACAAATAGTATAAAGTATCCAAATTTTTATGGTTATCATATATGCATATAATTAAAGATCTTATTTACTAATTAGTTCTAAATGCTCATTAAAATTCATAACAGTTACCCCCAAAAAAAAAGAGAAGAAGTGGTATAAGTTAGATAATTGACAATGGTGAAAACCAATCATATAATCAATCATAGTGACAGGTATGAGTTCTTAAGAGTCTTACAGTTAATGTCACATGAGATCCTTCAACCACTGGTATATCAGTTCTTCCTGCAACCTCCAACTACATATTCAAGTTAAGTAGAAAGCTTTAATTATTATAAGTCAAAAGTCAACTTCATTCTTTAAGGGGGCGAACCAGAGTAGTGGTAAAACTGTTCCTTCATGACTGAAAGGTCATGGGTTCGAATTCAGAAAACAGCCTCTTTGCAATTATGCAAGGGTAAGGCTGCGTACAAAGATTTCCTCCACCCCACACTCGCTAGTCGGGTTTAACGGAGAGTGGTTTTTTTTTTTTTAGAAAACAAATCCTTAAAAAAATACCATAAAAAGTAAGTGGCACCAACGAATCAAAGAAACAATCCCAACAACCTTACCAAATGCAAGGCATTTCTGGTTGCCAGGGTGGTGTAAACATTTCCATAAATAGTTGTAAGACCAATTACTTCTACCTCTGGTGATTGGAGGGCAAGAAATATTGCCATAGCATCATCTACACAAACCAATTCCAATCAATTCTCTGAGAAACTAGGAATTGCCCAAAACACAAGCAGAAAAAAGTTTCTAATTGATAAAGGGTTCATAATAAATCTCAATAAAAGTTGGTTTTTAAAATCAAAAACAAAGATAGCAGAAACATGTGACTGATTAGGATTCCCATTAGCAACGAAACATAAGCAAATTGAAACACAGATATGTTACCGATGCCAGGGTCGGTATCAATAATTATCTTCTTTGGTTCAGCCATGTGATGATGATTTTCACAAAAAGAGAAAAGAAATGACTTATGATTTAACTTGTTTTCCGAACCTTAACAGAGATGAAGACTAGGAAGACAGCTAAAAAGGCTTATTGCTTACGTGTGAAACACTGTCTTTTGATATGTAATTTATTATTTACAATGCATTCCACAAGTTCATGTCTTTATGTAATTTATTATTCACAATGCATTCCACAAGTTCATGTCTTTGTTTGATATTATAATTGTTTTTTTTATATACATTTCAATTGGTTAATCTCCAATTCGGAGTATTGGAATTAAAATTTTAAATTTTTGTAAAAAATTATACTAAAAAATATCATATACATGCTCTCACTTCAACTGTTCAATTTAATATCTATTAGTTTTTCTTTCTGGGCTATACTAGATGCATGCATTACACGGCCCATTAACTTGCAAACCTATCATAATTGTTAAAGCCGTGATTTTTGTTAAGATCTTTTTCATGATCCCATCCTTTCTATGTGATTATTAGTAAGACATGATTTTTTTATGGAAAACTTCAAAAATTTCCCTATGAGTTTTCTTAATTATCACGTACCTCCCTTACAAATTTTTAAATTATTTACATTCTTATTTAGATTTTTTTTATCACTTATCCCCTGACTTAAAGTTTTTTTATCACTTACCCCCGCACTGAGGGGGTAAATGATAAAAAAACTTTAAGCCAAAGGGATAAATGATTCAAAATTTTGAGATAAGATAAATGATTATAAGTAAAGTTACAGAGGGATTTTTGAAGTTTTCCCTTTTTATTTGTTAATTTCTCAATCGATTAATCATTTAATTTGGCTAATTTATATATTCTTATTAAAATTTTAATACAATTTATTCAAACTCAATACCACTAATTAAGTTAGAATAATATGTATATAGTTGATGATCACTTTTTTTTTATATAAGTGAGAATTAAACACATAATTTAATATAACTTATTCAAATTTCTCTTCACTATACCAATGTAAATGGCTTGATAATCTCCTTTTCTAAATATACCGATATGCATATTATCGTTCCCTCACTCATCTAACGGAACACTCAATGAACCCATCGTTAATATTAAAAATGTGAATACTTTAACGTGCGGTGAAACACATGAAAGCATGTCGAGAAAAAAAAAAATTAAACAAAGGGCTACTTGTAATCTAGCTGTCTAGTGTCTACCATTCCTTTATCTGTCACTCATAAAATAAGGAAAAACTTTATTTGTCACGAAAGTAAATAAAAAATATACAAAATATCATGAGAATTAGTATATGGAATGAAAGATTAGAATTGTAAATTGTTAGGAAGTTGTTTCTGTTGTAAAATTACTACGAATTGGAAGAAGAATATAGAGATAAGAGAGATAGGAGAATGTATTCTGGTTGCATTGTCATACTCAAATGATGTTTTATACATGTCTTATTTATAAGTTCCGAAAATATAAAAGTTACAATAACTACAATTATTCTCCAACGGTCATAACGTCTCTAACGGACATAATGTCTCCAACTGTCATAACGGTTATATAACGGATATGGACAGCCAAAACGGTTATATAACGGATATGGACAGCCAATAAATTGTTTATAACACTCCCCTTTGGATGTCCAATAATTTTATTGAAAAGAAATATATATTAGAGGTTGCCTCATTAAAAAACTTACCAGGAAAACCCAATGGGACAAAATCATGGTGAAGGAAAAAAGAGTGCAGCACGTATTTCACTCCCCCTGATGATAACATTATTTAATATATCTGAGTTTACGCATCTCGATCTTGTAAACGAGCTTCTCAAAACGTAACCCCTTGGTAAATAAATCTGCCAAATTATCACTTGAACGGATTTGTTGAACATCAATTTCACCATTTTATTGAAGATCATGAGTGAAGAAGAATTTTGGTCAAATATGCTTCGTTCTATCTCCTTTGATGTATCCTCCCTTTAATTGAGCTATACAAGCAGCATTATCTTCATGCAATATTGTTGGAATCTTTTTTTCTAACTGGAGACCGCATGCTTCTCGGATGTATTGCGTCATTGATCTTAGCCAAATGCATTCTCAACTTGCCTCGTGAATTGCTATTATTTCTGCTTGGTTTGAAGAAGTGGCTGCTATAGTTTGCTTTGTTGAACGCCATGAAATTGTCGTGCTTCCACTTGTGAATAAATATCCTGTTTGGGATCTAGCTTGTGTGTATCCGATAAATATTCTGCATCTGCAAAACCAACAAGTTGATGTCCATAATCATTTGAATAAAGTAAACCCATATCAGTGTTTCCTTGAAGGTATCGAAATATATGCTTAACACCATTCCAATGCCTTCGAGTTGGAGAGGAACTGAATCTTACTAACAGGTTTACAAAAAATGTTATATCTAGACGTGTATTATTAGCAAGATACATTAGTGCCCCAATTGCACTAAGATATAGTACTTCAAGACCAAGAAGCTCTTCCTCATTTTCATAGGGTCGAAATGGATCTTTATTTATGTCAAGCGATCTCACAACCATCGGGGTACTCAATGGATGTGCTTTATCCATGTAAAATCGCTTTAAAATCTTCTCTGTATAAGTTGATTGATGGATGAATATTCCATTTGTTAAGTGCTCAATTTGTAATCCAAGGCAAAACTTTGTCTTTCCAAGATCTTTCATTTCGAATTCTTTGTTCAAATAATCTACTGCTTTTGAAAGTTCTTCAGTATTGCCAATGATATTCAAGTCATCAACATATATACTTATTATAACAAATTTAGATCCATGCTTTTTAATAAAAACACAAAGGCAAACTGGGTCATTTTTGTAGCCTTCTTGTAATAAATATTCACTAAGGCGATTATACCACATACACCCTGATTGCTTTAATCCATATAATGATCTTTGAAGCCTTCTTGAACAAATTTCCCGAGAGCTTTTAAGTGCTTCAGGCATTTTGAATCCTTCGGAGATTTTCATATAAATTTCACTAGCAAGTGAGCCATATAAGTAGGTTGTAACTACATCCATTAGACGCATGTCAAGTCTTTCATGTACTGCCAGACTAATAAGATATCTGAAGGTGATTGCATCCACTATAAGAGAATATGTTTCCATATAATCAATGCCAGGCTTTTGCGAAAACCCTTGTGCTTCAAGTTGTGCTTTAGATCTTATGACTTCATTTTTGTCATTACGTTTCGAACAAAAACCCATTTGTACCCCACTGGCTTTATACCTTCGGGTGTTTGAACTATAGGTCCAAAAACTTTACGTTTCTCGAGTGAATTCAATTCTTCTTGAATTACGTCTTTCCATTTTGGCCAATTATTTATGTTTTTGCATTCATCAACAGTTTTAGGTTCAAGATCCTCGTCTTCTTTTATTATTTCAATAGCAACATTATATGCAAAAATATTGTCGACAACTATATCATTTCGGTTCCATCTTTTTCTTGAAGTAACACAACTAATTGAGATCTCTTCATTTTCATCATGTAACATCCCAAGCGCTGACGAAGGCGGGGAGTGATCGCCGGTGCGAAAGGGCATGGACAAAGAGCAGCTCTTGACAGGCTTCCAGCGGGGGGTTACTTGAACGAATGAATCGAATCGACACCGGAAAGAGAGGGATTTCAAAGACTGTGCAAGTATGAGACTACACAGTTTGAGATGGCTTATAAGAATTAATTGGTACTACCTTTACTAACAAGACGCATCTACTTTTCGATAGCCCGGAACGGAAGAACTCAATAGTTAAGCGTGCTTGACTTGGAGCAATTCTGGGATGGGTGACCTCCTGGGAAGTTTTCCCGGGAAGTGTGCGAGTGAGGACAAAGCACGCTGAAAAGTCTCGTATTAGTGTGTGGTGATAGTCGTTGATTCTTGCAAGTTGTCAGACGTTACAATTCCAGGTACCTAAACCTTCCCTGAGATTTTATGTAAAGTTATGTCTTTAGGATTTTCATAAGTACTTTGAACCATTTGGTCTTCCATGTTTTAAGTGTGGTTTAGTTTTCATTTGCACTAGACTGTCCTACTGAGACATCAATATGAATTGGAGCATTTACAGCTGGAATATGAGATTTAGTAACTTTTGGTAGGTCAGTAAAAGCATCTGGAAATTGATTGGCAATATTTTTCAAATGAATTATCTTTTGAATGTCAAGTTCACACTGATTTGTGCGAGGATCTAAATGAGATAATGATACTACATTCCAATCAATTTTCTTTTCCAGCTGTTTATTCTCTCCCCCTAATGTTGGAAAGATTGATTCATCAAAATGACAATCGACAAACCTTGCTTTAAATAAATTCCCCGTCATTGGTTCAAGGTATTGTATTATGGAAGGAGATTCATATCCAACATATATTCCTAACTTCCTTTGGGGACCCATCTTTGTGCATTGTGGTGGAGCAATTGGAATATAAACAGCATATCCAAAAATTCTAAGATGGTAAATATTTGGCTCCTGACCATCAGCCAACTGTAATGAGGAGAATTTTTTATAACTTGCTGGTCTAATGCGTACAAGTGATGCTGCATGTAAAATAACATATCCCCATGCCGAAACAGGGAGTTTTGTTCTCATAAGCAGTGGTCTAGCTATTAATTGGAGACGTTTAATGGATGATTCTGCTAAACCATTTTGGCTATGAACATGTGCAACAGGTTGTTCTATAACTGAACATGCTTCAGTCTTTTGGATGCTGTGTGAAATTCTCATGCTACAAACCTCTCATCTTTTAGTATGTATTCTAGACTCAATTACCTTTCCAACAAGGTATCACACGCCTCATAAATTTCTCTCTAGCTTCGGTTATCACAGTTTAAAGTTGGACAACCAAAGCTGTCAGCCAAACCAAAATAGGGCACCAAACATACCTCACCATTTCTGTGATTCTGAACAAACCACTCAACCAATTGCTCTCAAATTTTTATACAGAATACTAGACACCTTAAAATTTAATTTGACATATCATGAGCTTAATTTGAGTAAAAATTGAGGGAGAAAAAAATTATGGAAATCTGGAACCTTAATAGCCCCCCGTGCAGGGCCCTTTGGGCAGTCTCCACTCAAACG